AAATGTGGACAGTAAAGGCCGTGCGGATGATGAGGTCTCAGATAGAAATGAGGAACTTATCAGGAATTGGACAAAAGATAACCCTTGCTACACCATAGCAAGGAATCTGGCTGCAATGTGTCCATGCCCTTGGACTTTGTGGAAGTTGGAACTTAAGAGTTGTGAACCAGAGCATTTGGCCAAAGAAATTTCTAAGCAGCAAAGCATTAAGAACGCTGCATGGCTACTTCTAACAGCCTACTCTGAGTTATGGCAGTAAAGGCATAACATAAAGCCAGAATTTAAAAGGGAAGCAGAGCGTACAGATTTGGAAAATTTGCAGCCTGGCCATGCTGTAGAGAAACGGAGAGCTGGAGAACAATGCAAGAGAACAATGCAAGGGTGAAGCAGCTAAACTGGTTGCTAAAGACATTATCTTGGCAGTGAGGCAGCCAGATGCTAATAACCAGGACAATGGGAAAAATGCCTGAAATTTCCAAGCAGCAAAGCATTAAGGAAGCTGCATAACTACTTGCAATAGCCTATGCTGAGTTATGGCAGAAAAGGCATGATGTAAAGCCAGACTTTAAAAGGGAAGCAGAGCATAAAGATTTGGAAAATTTGCAGCCTGGCCATGTGGTAGAGAAGCAGAAAGCAGGAGAAAAATGTAAGGGTGAAGCAGATAGACTGGTTGCTAAAGATTTTAGCTTGGAGGCAAGGTAACCAGATGCTAATAGCCAGGACAATGGGAAAAAAGCCCTGAAGGCATTTCAGAAGCCTGGAAGGGTGCCCCTCCCATCACAGACCCAGAGGCCTAGAAGGACTGAGTTGTTTCAGGACAGACCTGGGGTGCTGCTGCCCTCAGAAACATCCTGGCATCTGAGCTACTCTGGCTGGAGCAGCCCTGCCTCAAGCAGCCCCAAGTGTGGTTTGTGCAGCAGCTCTGGAGAGCATAAGCTGGGAATCTTGGTGGCCTCCACGTGGTGTTAAATCTGCAGGCCAGCAGAACATGAGAACAGTGGAAGCACGGCAGCTTCCACCCAGATTTCAGAGGATGTATGGGAAAGCCTGGGAGCCCAGGCAGAGACATGCTGCAGGGGCAGAGCCACTTCAGAGGCCATCTACTAGAGCAATGTGGAGTAGAAATGTGGGGTTGGATCCCCCACAGAGAGCCCCCACCAGGGAAATGTCTGGTAGATCCAAGGTAGTGGGGCTGCCTCCAGGACACCGGAACTGCAGGGCCACTGGTAACATGCAACTCTAGCCTGGAAAAGCTGCAGGGACCAGCATAGCCCAATGGACTGTGCCTAGCAGAGATATGTGAGGGAGCCTGCCTGAGGCTCTGGGGCCCAGATGCCCAACTGTGCCCAGGATGCAGGACTTGGAGTCAAAGAACATTATTCTGGAGGCTTAAGACATAATGTCTGTCTTGCTGGGTTTCGGGCTTGTTTGGGGCCTATTTCTCCTTTTTTCTGGCCTATTCCTCCCTTTTGGAATGGGAATGTATACCCAATGCCTGTTCCACCATCTATCTTGGCAGTAGATAAATTTGGTTTTGCTTTGCAGGTCCACAGCTAGAAGGACTTTTGCTTTTGGTTTCAGAGGGGACTTTGGACTTTGGGCTTTTAAGTTGGTGCTGGAGCAAGCAAAGACTTTTGTGACCGTTGGGATGGAATGATTGTATTTTGTATGTGAGAGGAACATGAGTTTTGGGAGGCCAGGAGCGGAATAATGGAGTTTGGATGTGTTGTCCCCTCCGAAACTCTTGTGGAATTTGATCTCCAATGTGGCAGTGTTGGAAACTGATTGAGTCACGGGGGCGGATCCCTCATGAATGTATTAATACTCTCCCTGGGGTAGGGGGCATTAATGAGTGACTTCTTGCTCTATTAGTTCCCACAAGAGCTCATTGCTTAAAAAAACCCTGGCACCTTCTCTCTCTCTCTTGCTTCCTCTCACCATGTGATCTGCTTGTACCCACCGGCTGTTTGCCACTTTCTGCCGTGAGGAGAAGCAGTCTGAGGCCCGTGCCAGATGCCGCTGTCCCAGAATAGTAAGCCATATAAACCTCTCTTCTTTATAAATTACCCAGTCTCAGGTATTTCTGTTACAGCAACACAAAACGGACTAAAACACTTAGTTTAAATTCAAACAGCAAAGTTATTTAGCTCTGCTTCCTATTCACTTACACATATAAACTAAATAATATTTAAAGAGCCTAAAATTCACATCTGTTAATTCACACTGAATAAAGTGCACCCAGTTTACCTCTCTCAAAAATTCAGACACCTGGTCTAAAAATCTAAACAAAATCAGCATTATCATCATATTTGCTAGGAAGAAAATTAACAAAAATGTTTTGCTTTATTATTTAAATAAAGTTTGAGCTAATAAGTTAAAAAGGCCTAGAATATTAATGATCCTCTAAAAGAATGCATAAGATACATATATGCTCATAATCACCCTGCCAGATAAAAGGACCAATTACACCTGGCAGTGGATAAAAGACTGTGCTTATGGGCTGGCCCGGTGGCGCACTCGGTAGAGTGCGGCGCTTGGGAGCGCGGCGGTGCTCCCGCCGAGGGTTCGGATCCCATATAGAGCCGGTCCGCTCACTGGCTGAGCATGGTGCGGGCGCGACACCGAGGGTTGCGATCCCGTTGCTGGTCGCGGTATGGGCGCAACACCGAGGGTTGCGATCCCGTTACCGGTCACGAAAAAAAAAACGAAAAAAAAAAAAAAAAAAAGACTGTGCTTGCCTACCATTCTCTAATTTACTCATTACTTGCCACATGTAACTATGCAACAATAAAATGTAAACTACAGTTTACACTGTGAGTTATGGACTTTATTCCTCATAATCTAAAGCAGATTAAAAAGGCCCTTAGAGCCGCAATCTTTGGTTTGAACTAACTCTAACATGGAAAGTTTGGAATGGATGAAGGTTTAAAAGGTTAAAAAAAATTCAACTGATTTTTATCCCCCACCCCCCAAAAACTGAACACTCACCCCCAATTCCACTCCAATAAAGCCTGACTTGTAGTTTTTATCAGCAAGATAAAAATACTTAGTTTACTAAGGAAGTATACTAAAGGCCTTGCTTCAAAATTTCACAAACTATGAAAATTAAATGACATTCTAGGTTAACTATATATTCAAAAACATATTTTAAGTTCCTATTATGTATAAATGCTCATATAAAAATGTGGGAGTGTGAATACAATACTCACAGGATGACAATACAGCATGGGAAATACACACAAACTAATATATAAATTACAGAAGCAAGAACAAAATAAGTAATCTTTAAAAAAAAAAAAAAAAGTCGATAATTCTATCTCCTGCTTACCCCAAGCATGTCAAAAAAGAATAGAAAAGAGCTCATCTTTGGTTGGACTTGGGGGTGGGGGTGGTGGGGTGTTACTTAAGGGATGAACCCAGAAGAAGGTTCTAGGCAAAAGGAACAGAATAAGCAAAGATAATCCTGACATCCTGCTTCAGGAGTTATTTTCAATTTTAAAGCACAAAAATAGTAGGCAGGGGCCAGTTGATTATAGAGGGTCATGCAAAGAGTTGAATCTTAACCAATCTACATAGCTACTAAAGCATTTTAAGCAGGAAAGACACATCATATTTCTGGAAGTGATGTTATAAGAGAATGAATTAAAAGACCACTGCTAGACTCCACGAGATACTCCATAGTTTGCAGCAGCAAAGGAAGTGACAGGATGTGACAATTCCAGCTAATCAAAGTAGATAAAATATAATCATAAAATCTTGTGGAGAAGTGGAGGAGTGGGGAAAACACCATTATTTAGCTTTTGTTTATCTTTTCGTTTAAATACATAATCTAAACATAAACTGAAAATCTATGTAAGGGATTCAATGACCTGACATATAAAGAAGATTCTCATTATACAAAAATAAACAAATCCTGAAAAGGGCTTTCTAAAGTAAACCTTCTTGAAAGGAAGACAAAACCTTATAATGAGGAATAAAAACAAAAACTGCCTGGCATTTGGGCCGACCCCGTGGCTCACTCAGGAGGGTGCGGTGCTGATAGCGCCTGACGCCCTGGGTTCGGATCCTATATAGGGATGGCCGGTGCGCTCACTGGCTGAGCGTGCTGTGGACTACACCAAGCCAAGGGTTACGATCCCCTTACTGGTCAAAATAAAAAAAAAAACTGCCTGGCATTTAAATAATGAAGCTAATAATTACAAAAGAAAAAGGGTAAATATAATTGCAGCTACGTGCTATTTCTTAAAAAGAAACATCAAATATGGATAGTATAACATTCTTCCCTGAATGTTTGATTTATCTTAACCTTAAAGGTCATTTTCACAAAAAAGTATTTAAGGGTTACATCATTTTCCTCAATGCATCTCTCAATCCTTGAGTGATATTCAAACCACTTGTTTAAATACTCAGGAAATGAGGGCAAGCATTATACTAAAACCCAGGGAACACTTGTGAGCAAGACAAATATACTACTTGCTCTTACATAGTATACAGAAGAGAAGACTTAATTAAACTAATAACAGGCAGTTATAAGAAAATACCAGGAAAATCTAAACTAACAGATCTGTCTGTTGCCTTCATTTTAAATCTGGTGAAAGTGATCTGCCCAAGAAAATTCAACGAGTTAGGGGAAAAGTCTGAGGTTTTACTTTAACACACTTTTCCCTAATGTTATCATTTCATGTTCTCAAATTTAGTTTTATGTCACCTGACTTTAACTCACAAGATATTTAAAGGTATCATTATTTCAAGAAATTCACCAAATCTTTAATCTAACTGTGAATTCATAATATTATAATATTCTACTCACTAAGTTCCTGGCATGAAAATTCAAAGCGTTAAGGAAACAGATGGGCCACCTGAATCACATTTCTAGATATTAACCAAAAATAATTTTTCAGGGATTTCATACATTACATGGAAAAGGCTCCCAGGGACTAGTACCATATGCACACTTTGTAATATGAATCCTAAGCAACTACAGGTGTGAAGCTTTGTACCTGTGTGATGGAGAAGGAGCTTCAAATTGAGGCACTGTGCTATCCTCACTGACAGGAGAATATAAGCCGCTCATTTCCTGAAAGTAAAATTATTTGAGTTATAGTAGATACTCCAAACAGAAGATGTATAAATCAAAAAGAGACATGATATATTCCCTTCCAATCCCAGGTTTACATCAGTTCCTTGTTGTATCAACACTCAAATTTCTCAAGGACTCCCTTCCTCAGAGTACAAAAGGATTTATGAAAAGTTAAGAGACAAGTCTTTTCTATGGTACATATCCTTAAAGAACTATAAATTCTTTAATAAAATGGTTCATCATTAATAAAGCCACCAAATGCAGTAAAAGACAAATGTAAATATTTTAAATGAGATGTATAGTACACTGTGTGAACAATGAACTGATCATTAATCGATCATTAATCTGGGTGATAACACCTATTGATTACTATTAAGATAAATGTAACCATAAGGTAACTGGATCATCAGGTTCAACTCTTTAAAGTACAAACAAAACAAACAAACAAAAAACAACAACAAGAAAACAGGGTATGACAGTGTCTACTTTTAAAATATTCTCCATAAACATTAAGTAACACTCCTCTTTTCAAATATTAGCTTTGTTTAACAAGGACTGAAGCTCCAATTTATGATCATTAACCCAAAGGAAAAGGCCTACTATAATCAACCATTATTGCATAAATTATGTCTCTGAATCATATTGACAGCTTACCATACTTTTTTATATGCTACATCTGATTAATGGAAACACAGCAAATTGTAAAATTTGACTAAAGATGCATAATCAGGCAGAATTATTTCTGGCTAATTCAAGCTCAACTCAATCATATAGCCAACCAAGTGACATAAATGTAATATAAGTTACGAATGCCACATGGGATACTGAATATCCACTAAATATTAAATCCATCATCCTTTAACATGTTCTACATATCAGCAAAAGAAAATGATAACACATGCGAATTATTAAAAATACACACTAAGGGGCTGGCTAGTTAGCTCAAGCAGCAGAGCATGGTGCTGATAACACTAAGGTCAAGGATTTGGATCCCCCTATTGGCCAGCCGCCAAAAAAAAGTAAAAATAAAAATATACACTAAATTTAAATACAGTCAAAGGCAATAACCTCACGTCATAATAGACTACGAGCTTCCCAAGGATCTCCTGGATAATTTCTAGAAGTAAATTATACTATAAATTCCCCGAATATTGATAATGTATTCTCATCTTTGTTTTAATTAATATTAGCATCTAGTCATGCACATAGTAGATACGTAAAACTTATTTACTTAATTAAAAAAAGGAACGTGATGAGTTACTTTAATGGTAATAACTGAGAGTTCTGTGGGAATTGATTTAAGTTAATACGATGGCACGCCAAGAAAACTGAGTGATTTTTTACAAAATCTAATAGAGAATTGTGGCAATAAAATATTGTAAAAATAAATTTAGACTACATTTTATCATCAGAAAGTGTTCTGAATGTTTTTTCTACAAAAATGCACTCTCAATTAAAATTAAAGTAGCATCTGTTACTTTCTTCATAACTGAGATCAATTCCATAAATTTAATGCAGCAACTTAAAGGAAAGGTAACAATTCTGTAAACTTGAAAAAATCACTAGAAATGTGAAAAATTCTTGATTTCTTACTTCCACTCTTTTAATATCCTCTTCCAAAACACTTAGTTCCTTCTGGATCTGTTCCAGTTGCTGTAGATTAAAGAGAAAGAAAGAGAAAAAAGCCTAAACCAAACCACAAGAGCATCACCAGGATCATAAAACAGTTTTACATTTGAAAAACGACTTCTAGAAAACTGGGCACTAATGGTAAATTAGGGGTATAAAAAAAAAATCACCAATAAAAAATAGCTAGAAATTCTAATATTAAAATGCATATGTAGAAATTTAATCTTTAAGAAAATATAATGTTGTACTTCTTTAATATAACAGGGATTGACTTTACAATAAAATATGAAAGATTAACAATGACAAGAAACTTTAAAAAATACAAGATAGCCAAAGAACTTTCACATTACCTCATTTAATTGTTAAAAATCAAACAAAAAAAATTCAGAACGTCAGTTGTTAACTCCACGTCACAAATAAAAATCAGTCCAAAAGAAGTTAAATTCCACTACCCCAAAACCACAAGTTAGCATCTAAACATTTCCTTCTTTTGGATTTTTAAAACATAAATTTAAGATAACGTTTTATCATTTATACCTTACCTACTGCATCATAACCATTTTCCATGCCGTCAAGATGTAAACATTTTAATTGTTAAATAACATTCTACAATATATTTAACCATTCCCCTTCTCACTAGAAGTTTAAGTTGTTTACAAACTAGCATAAACAATTCTGGAAAGTATGAGTCTTTTAGGTTTTATTTCATTACATTTTCAGATTTTATTAAGAGATTATTGAAAATAAAATTACTCACTCAAAAGAAATAGAGAAAATCTTCATTATATAATATAAAACTGCTTTCCAAATACACTGTATCAATTTAAATTTCTATTACCAGTATGTATAACTCACCATCTTACCCAACCCTGATATACTGAACCCATTTTTTAAATGTTAAATAATAACAATGAATATTTATATAATACTGATTGCCAGACGTGAAATAGTTACTGTTACATACTAAGAAAATAAGGCATAGAATGGTTAAATGATTTGTCCCAAATCATTTAGCAATTAAGTGGCAAAACTGAAATTCAAATCAAGGCAGTCTTCTTGCTCCAGAATTCATGCTGTTAACCACTATGCTATATTACCTCTTGAAAATGGTACCTTACTGTTTAATTCACTTTAATGACTGGTAAGGGTTTACATGTTTTTTTTAGGTTTATTATCACTAGCACTTGCTCTTCTGTGGCAATAAAGGCACAGTTGGTATTCTAATAATGTATTAATTCAAATGTTTACCAATCCTAGGCATTTTGCTAAGTACTCAGAACAAGATTGAAAAAACTATAGCCCTTGCCCTCATGAAGCTCAGTCTAGGGGAGATGGCAAACAAGAAAGTCAATAATTGAAACATCACAGTATGCATTACGATGATGGTACGCACGTATTAAGAAAATAAAGACTGCTTCTAAGGTAGATAGAGAGCTGTGGGGTACGGGCAGCAACTGGATAACTGAACTTAGCTCTCAAATTAAATTAAAGTCTGGCCTTGCAGGACTAATAGAATTTTGCCAGGTGGAAAACAGTGAGGAAAGAAAGAATAAGAAAAGTAAATGATAATATGTGCAAAGGCACAAAAGCTATGAGAAAGGGAAATAATCAATCTAAACCTATGGCAATGAATGAAATCACCCAATATCAATCAGTATAGTCAGAAGAGTTAAAACAAAAACTGGATTGGGAACACTAATTTTAAAGAGATTGGCAAAGCAAGAAGCAGTATTAACTATCAAGAAGGGCAAATTGGTAGCCACAGAACCAAAGGAAAAGACAGTACTATCAGAGAAATCAGGACTAAAGGGATTGACTAGCATGCCAAATGCTTTCAACTCATCAATCTACTTTAATAAACTTTCCTCAGCCTTAAAATTTATCACACAGTACTCTTGCCTTAACTGAAACTTTGCTCTCCCTCAAAGACACTGCCTGTCTTCAAACTCTTTCAAATAAAGGTCAATGATAGAAAATAAAGAAAGAAAGAAAGACCAATGATAAATTCTCTAATGCCCCAGGTTCACAGACTATGTGGGGACTCACTTCTACTCCATTCCATGGCCACTCCTAACAATTAGTCTTCAACCCTAACATAAAACCATTCTGGTCTAGTTCATACCAAGCAGCCAAATCACTCTTTATTAAACCTACAGGAATGAAATAAATCACCCAGTATCAATCAATGTAGTCAGAAGAAATAAAAACAAAAAACAGGACTGGGAACACCAATTTTAAAAAGATAGGCAAAGCAAGAAGCAGTTTTAACTACCAAAAAGGGCAAAGCAGTAGCCACAGAACCAGAGGGAAAGATAGTACTATGAGAGAAATCAGGACTAAAGAGATTAATTACCCATTTTAGCCAACTATAAACATCCCAGTTATTCCCCACCACCACTGAAGTCTTTTGGTTCAAGGACATTTTTAACTCCAGTGATCTTGATCTCTAATTTATTAGCAAAGCACTCCCATGGTCACCTCTCAAACATTTTCATTTAATTACCTAGAAATGCTTCACTCTTTAATATGAGAGATCTTTAGTATGATTGCTTTAAAAGATACATTTAAAATAAGGATGAAATTAAACATTTATAATATCAACATTCAGAGACAGCCAATATCACTTACATGATGCTTAATACGTAACTAAGATCAATTAATTTTTATTCTGCTTCTAAACTTGAAATACCAGAAAAAAATTTCCAATGTCATCCTTCTAGTGCCCCAAAGCTTTTGCTAGACAATACACTTTATATATGGAGGCTACTCTATATAAGGTGACTTGTACAAAATTGCCAATACTCAAACAATTTTTATTTTCAAAAACAGCATTTCATATGGTTCAATTTAAAATGAAACAACTAAAGTACAAGTGCTGTCCTGATAAATATATAGGTAGAGTATAAAAGAAAATGATGTAACCTACCTATATGAGAAAGTCTAAAAAGGTATCAGGCAAGAAATATTTTTTTAAAAAGTTTGGAGGGATGATAACTGTTTAGAGAGCACATACTGAATTTGAGGTATTTCCATTTCAAGATGAGATTCTGAAGAAGTTTGGGCAGACATTTTAGTACAAAGCATTTTAGAATGACCATTTAAAAGAAGCAGAAAGAAGAACTGGTCTAAATTTACTCTGCAGACATCATAATCCTCAGGGGCAAAACTTAGATTAAAAGCATGAATAAGAGTCCATGAATGTTTTAGAGCTCTGAAAAAACCATGAAGCTGAACTGCTATTATCTGAATGAAAATATATCACAAGTTGGGAATGATAAATTCCTCAATCAAATTTGCCTTAACACCATCATGGAGTTGGGGGCTATTAAAAAAAAGTTATAATAAATATATGATGAGAGAATTAAGGTAACACTATCTGAGAGCATGATCCTAAGGCATCAATACCCACCTTTCTCTTAACACTGTCCAAACACCCCCCCAAATTTACAAAAACATTGAAATTTTTAAAGTGAACAAAAGTCTCATAATCTCTTATTACGGTAAAAATTTACAAGAATTCAAGGCTGTAGAGTTCCCCATTACTGATTATAGCTTCCGTGTAGGTTGGAATCATTGGTACTTGTTTATTTGACTTATAGTAATGGTTTGATGAAGATATGCTTAAGTTTGAAACTCATTATTCAAATTTTATTTTTCAGAAGCTAATATAATTTAGAATAAATTACATATAATCCAAACTGAACAGAAGAATACCCTGTTATACTTTCAGAGAAAAAGCTGGTTTAAAAAAAAGGGTAGCAAAACTTAAAATATATAATTTTTAAGATCTTACTACCAAAAGCAAAGCATTTAGCCATACAAAGTACTCACTACAACAAGCTAAAAGCCTATCATCACATACCAATACCCCACAATAACCCATAATACACATACTTAATATCTAGTTCCTGTAATGACAGACTTGATTATAAGACTTCATTCAATCCTCCCACATAATCTTTTTTTTAAAGTTGAGAAGAAAACATAGACCAAAGATAAATAAATTAAAAAATGTTTAAAGGTTAGAGAGAGGGCAAAATAAGATGGCTTACTTAAAAGCAAATGTAAAGGATGTCAATACCAGTAGACTATGATAAATTACAAATGTACATGTAACACCTACAGCAGCCACTGAAAAACTAGACAAAGAGATGTACTCAAACACATAGACAAATCAAAATGGAACTCTAAAAAAAATTCAAGAACCCACAGGGAGAAAAACAAAACAGAAAAGAAACAAGGAGGTTTGACGCATAACGTTTACATTAAATAAATAGTCTAAATACACAATTACAAGACTGAGACGCGTAGAGTAAATTTTAAAAAAATATTTCAACTATACGGTGTCTCTGAGAAACTCATTTCAAATATGATTCAGTAATTGATATAACAAGGACACAAAGATTCAGTAAGGATGCAGATAACATGCACCGCACATTTTACACCTTTACACTGCACCATGCAATTGCAGAAAACACATTCTTTTCACGCACAAATATTTCAAAATTTAACTAACTACCAGGTAGTAGAGCAAATATTATATTCAAAGGAATAAAACACAAACTATTTACTGATTACAATAAAATTTTAACAGAAATCCATAACAAAAAAGACAAGAAAACCCCCATGTTCAAGTAATAAGAAGTCTATTTCTAAATAACCCAAAGACCTAAGAAAAAACTATAATAAAAATTAGAAATTATTTTGATCTAAACAATAACAAAACACAATATCAAAATCACTAGATGTAGCTTAAAACAAACAAAACTATGGCTTCAAATGTCTATATTAGAAAAAGCAGTCTACATAATAATATGCACATCCAAGTCAACATATTAGAAAGGAACAATAAAATAAAACCAAAAAAATTATAAGAATGGAAATAATAAAAGACACGACTTAATAAAACAGAAAATAGAATAAACAAAGCCAAAAGTTGGTTCTCAAATAAAATCAATAAATCCCTGGCAAGAAATGATCAAAAAAAAAAAAGGAACAGCACAATAAGCAGTGTCAGGAATGAA